GCTATCCCATTTTTGGGGTCGGCCGCTACGCGCCGCTATCTGTGATTGACTACTCTGGCCTGAGTCATATAACATTTGCATTTTATTAAGTTCCCTTCTGTTTCTGAATTCTGACTGCTTGCATTCACTTTAGGCAGTATTTCTATTAAATGTGTTATGTACTTGTGGAATTTTTTACTTGCTTCGAGCTATTCTTTCCTATATGTGCATATGCATCTTTCTTGCTGTCTATCATTAATTTGCCACTGGATTTTAAATTGGGTTGTCTTTCTTTTTTGCCAGACATTGCCCTTTTATACTCGAGGCTATCACTGCTTTATCAGAACTAGGATCTACTGCAAAGGACATAATTTCATTGTTTCCTCAGGTTTGTTAATAAAAGCATAAATTTTTTGCATACCTGAAGCTAAGTAGAGATTCAGCCCTTGGCCACCCCCAGCATGATTCGTTGGTATGCTAGTGAGTTGGGCTCTTTTTAATAACTCACTGCTTTTTATCATGAGCTTTGGGTCACTTTTTGTAAGATTGGAGTTTATTTAAAATTTGAATGCTCTCCAAGAATATGATTGGTGCACAAACATTTCATTTCAGACTCTAAATAGAACTGGGAGGGCTCCATTTGATCACACTGACTCAAGTCGTTGGCTTCAAGTAAGTTGTATATAATAATTCAAACTTGTCATTGTGCCTTTAAAGTAAGTACTTGCTGCTGTTTATCAGCTTAGAAATTTTTGCTTCTTATGATATTTTTGATAATGTATAAACCTCAATAAGTAGCGTCATTCTTAACCTGCATAGCGTATATGCCACATGGAATCCTTGAGAAATAACAAAAGATGACTGCGAGTCTACTGAATGAATAAATATTCATTTTCACTGACTATGTCAATGGTTTCATGGTATATCTAAAATGTATTGAACTTGGCAAATTGAGATATCTCAATAATAACCAATTCCAATGTAAAACACAATCATACCAAATAGATTCTTTTCTCATTAAGTTTTACATTGACAAGTATCAATTCTTTTGTTTTGAGAGCGGTATTCTTGGTTTTGTATGCATGATATGATGTGGGGGATGCATTTGATTTGTTGATTTTGTAGACTTCCTAAGTACTTTTCTTTGTTGAGCTACACTACATGATGAAACTTGTTGCAAGCCTACGTCTTAAAACTTAACATAGTAGTTAATTTTAACATAGTAGCCTCTATAACCTAATGGTCGATAGTTTGATCCTTGCCTCCCCCATTGTGCTCGCATAAATTGAATATCAGTCTGCTTCAAGCCTTCAAGTTGAAAGGGCTTTTGCATAAGATAGTATATTGGAGAGATAAACTATCACTCTTGAACTGCATTAAACAGCTTATAAATTTTCAGAATGGATTTTATTTTTTATTTTTTATTTTTTTTAAAATGACAGTTTATCCTGATTTTTCCCTTGTGTGTTTCTTAGGTCAAAAGAACACCTCAAATAACATTAATAAATAAAATCCAACTATTTTTTTTATTTTGAGAATTAATATCTTCTGCCCATTTATTTTGCAATCCACCTGTATATTTGTAAACATATACCACCATATCCAAGAGGGCCTTGAAACTTGGCAAATTCTGACTAGGTTTTTATTTTTTCTTGCTAGCGCTATGTTGAAGCTCAGTGTTGCATCTCTTCAAATGATTACAAAGGTGAGATTTAACATAGTTTATGGGGTTGTATGATTCAATGTTTGCGTTGGAGTATACGGCGTCATTGCTAAAATATCTGTTCAATGGGGATGCATAGCTCTTAGACCAATTTCTCTCGCGCCTTAAGTTTACCAAATTAGAAGACCTAGTGACCTACTCTACATTGTTTACATAACTCATATTTTCAGCGATACATTCTTGTATATTTATGTTATACTTCGTAGTTTATTAGCTCGTACTATTTCTATGGTGTGTGTACATGCAGTTTTACTTTGTTTCTAATTCTGGCAGGTGGCTTGGAACTATTTGCTGATCTTTTACAGCGTTTCCCCAATAATATACACTTAATACTTGAGATTGCAAAGGTGAATTGCTGCATTGATTTAGAACTTGTGTGAATATACCTTTTCATGAGGCGTATTATATACTTAGTTTTAACTATATATGTAGGCTTTTTATACACAATTTCTTCAAATTGTTCATTTAACAATGTAAACTCTGATGTATATTGTAAATAAAGGTTGAAGCTATTATTGGAAAGAATGAAGAGGCCATTACGAATTTTGAGAAGGTAATGAGGTTATAGTGTATTATGTTGATAAGTTGAATTGTTGCATCCCATCCTGCTTCTTTGTATGTGTTTACTGAGCTTAAACTTGTAACTTGGCAATTACAGGCCCGATCAATTGATCCATATGTCGTAACATATATGGATGAGTATGCAATGCTTCTAAAGCTAAAGTCTGATTATTCTAAGCTGAACAAGTTAGTACATGACTTATTGAATATTGATCCTGCAAGACCAGAGGTTTTTGTGGCACTATCTGTTTTATGGGAAAGGAAAGATGAGAAAAGAGCATTATCATATGCTGAGCAGGTTGGTAGTTTTATTTGATGAGGATGGATTGAATTATTTTTATCTTTTACAGAATTGCTTACAGTTGACTGACTATTTGGTAATTAGAGCATTCGGATTGACGAGAGGCATATACCAGGGTACATAATGAAGGTAATAAAATTGTTTTTGTTTAAATCCAAATGGCTTCTATTAACTTTAATTTGACGAAGCAAGTACTGTGAATTCTGTTTAGGGAAATCTACTATTGACAATGAAACGAGCAGAAGCAGCCGTGTCTGCGTTCAGAGGAGCCCAAGAATTGAGACCTGATATACGCACATATCAAGGTTTGTTTTTGTACTTGAAAGTATATTTAGGCTAGCAGCATTGACTTGGGTCTTACCAGCATCGACGTTCATGTTTTTCATTGCCATTGTATTGCAAAGTGGTAATTACGGAAATGCAAAATTCACAGATTTTGACATCAATCTGATTTTTCCAGGTTTGGTTCATACATATTTGGCGCTCTCTAAGATTAAAGAGGCTTTGTATGCTTCTAGAGAGGCAATGAAAGCAATGCCTCAATCGGCCAAGGCTTTAAAATTAGTCGGTGATGTGCATGCCAGTAATTCGAATGGGAGAGAAAAGGTAACTTGTCAGATTTTTAAGATTTAGTATCTATAAACTACTACCATAGTTTTCTTATGTGTGAAACTTAATGCATTCATCATACAGGCTAAAAAATTCTACGAGTCTGCATTAAGACTGGAGCCTGGTTATCTTGGAGCAGCACTAGCATTGGCTGAACTCCATGTTATTGAGGGCCGAAATGGTGATGCCGTGTCTCTACTTGAGCGATATCTGAAAGACTGGGCTGATGACTCTCTTCATGTGAAGTTAGCACAAGTTTTTGCTGCCACTAATATGCTATCAGAGGCTTTGTCGCATTATCAGGCTGCATTAAGGTTGATCTCATATTCTGCAAACATCTGTCATGGCATAGTGCATTTTCTCTCCATTTTATGCAGTAACGTTCTTCGCATTTAATAATTGATCCTATCCTTGTAGTTAAGAATGTCCATGTTATATGCCTTAATGTTTATGATGTTTTCATGTTTCTAACATTTTGTATAAATGACAGGTTAAATCCCCAGAATGAAGCAGCAAAACGGGGTTTAGAGCGTTTAGAGAAGCAAATGAAGGTTTGCTCTTTATATTCATTCACTCGGTTTTTTACTCATAAAATCACATTTCTCTCAGCTTCCAATCATACATTATTTGCACTTGAAATAGATGCATGGTCTAAGACTAACATTAAAATTTGAGTGACAATTTTGTGATTTTGCATTTGTTCAGGGAGTAGATCCTGATGCACCTGAAGAAGACGAAGACAATGATGTTGAAGATGGTGATGGTGATCAAGACGAGACTGAACTTCTGTGAGAATCATTATTCAAAGGATGAGAAAAACACCCGTGGAAATAGTATATAATGTTTTGAGATAGCATTAGCAATAGGATTGATGAGAATTACCTCTGCATCCTATAAGGAAGGTTTTCAGTGTTACTACAGCAAAAGTTCACATCAGAAAAAGAGTTTTATCATTTTGAACTGTTGCATCTGGTAACTGTATGTATGAACGCATGGAATAGATGCTGCAATTCATATTTTTTTCATTGAGTGGTTGAGGTTGGATTTTGGTCAGACTGTTGAAGTGGTGCCAGTTGGTAAGGTCAAATATGTACCAGCACAAGCTGGTTGCTGTGTAATCTCTATTGTAGATTTCTGTTATCCTGGTTATGTATTTGTAAGATATACATTAACAACATTTGGTCACAAGTTTAGTTACTGTGAAAAATACATACAATTTTCTTTCACCAGCCTTGTAAAACAATTGCTTATTGAATTCTTAACATTTATTAGGTTCTCTCTTTCTTCTTTTTAACTCAACTAAAAAAATAATAATGATTTCATTAATTGTGCTTTACACCTACTGGTCCGGTCATTATTATAAGCAAAGAGAATATTAATTGTGCAGATACCTTCATTATTCAATAAACTCAAAAAGATAATATTTGCTTATAATAATGGTCGGAGGGAGTAATTGCATAATCCTTATAAATAATTATTTCATTTTTCTTGTTTTTTTTAGTATTTTATTTTTACAATGTTATGTTAATTTATTATTCAATATTACATACCATTACAAAACATTGATTACTGTTGTTAAATACAACACGATCCGATTACAGTTACAGAACAATGAACTATAAACTAATACTTATTTAACTGTTTCAATGAATCTCTGGACTCAATTTTGTCACATTTGATTTGTGTGACCAAAATGCAGTAACACTGCATATTTGGAGATTAGTCTTCAATGCCATCCTCAAAATGCACTTCCTTTACAGAAGCTTTGTCGGTTTATTTTTGGTTTTCTGAAATTGATTGATATATTTGAGCATTGAGGACACCTCACTACACATGAAAAGGTTTCCTCGGAGTAGGTGTCCGGTTTTCCATCGATTGCAGTCTCTGTTTGAGGTGAAAAACTTCGACCTATGAAGCCAACAAAGATTGCAACCGAGTTTAAGAAATCCAATGTATGACAAGAAAAGCAAATATTTGCAATCAATCTAAGAATGTACCTGTAACTGGAATGCCCTGGCTCTTTCTCCTGCAAGAACTCCTCTTGTAGAGTGCAATTCCTACTAAGAGTTTACTCAGTCAATACTAGCATTTTGCAGGCGCAGGCGTACGAATAATACATAAAATGGAATACCACATATACCTTTTGTGTATCATCTAAAACAGCCTTGAGGAAAGCCACGTCATGTTCGAGTCTTACATTGTCAGAATGTACAATGTCAGATAGGTTGTTAGCCTCTTCTAGAGCTAACTCTGCACCAACCTGCTTCTCTCTCAGTAATTCAATATCCTTTAGTGTGTCAGCCATTTTTTTATCCATCTCTTGCTTGCTTTTAAAAGTGGACGCTAAATTTTTCTCAGCAGCTTCTTTGCTTTCTAATGAAGCTGCCAATTGTGCCTCCAGAATGCCGAATTTTCTTGTTAGGGAGGACATTTTTGTTTCATAATAATTATATATATTTGAAGCAGTAGACAATGTTCCTGATGTAACGTTTTCATGGAAAGAACTTTCATCTTCCGAATGCTTGTCACCCCTATCATCTACATTGAATTCTAAATCAGGATCAAATTGACTGTGAAGGGAGATGTTGGTAGAGAGAGAACCAGAATCTTGTACAGACAGAGCTTCTGACAGAGATTTCCTTTCAGAACCATGTTCAATTGCAGATATTAGATTTTGTCTAACAATAGAGTCGATGAAATGCTGAGAAGAGTCATTTCTATGTTGAGTGGGCGATGAATGTTTTTCAAGTATAGATCCTGGACCTTTGGTGTTAGATGGATGTCTTCTGGAAGCAGATTCATTTTTTTCTGTTTTCAACACTTCCACCTGTCACAGCCAAGAAAAAAATGATTAAAATCCAGAAGTTCAACCAAAAGAAAACTCGTATTCATACAGGTTGTTTAAACATTTGTTAAACCTGATTTGATGCCTCTTTTTTCGATCCCCCAAATGCAACAAGAAAGTCATTTTCCTTGTGCTGCACAAGGACCAAGCTAAATCCCTGCCAATTCAACAAACATCATAAGTATGCTTTCAAACAATCTTACAGAAAGCAAGATCGAGCATCAAATAAAATCCATCTAGCATATGTTCAAGTCATATATTGTTCGACGGTGGTAGTCAGTGCAATTAACAGCAGGAGGCTAGCAATAGATGAACGATACGTGAAAAGAAAGATAAAATGTTCACCTTGTTGGTAGTGATAGAAGAAGGAGGTGAAGCAATTTCTAGAAACCACTCACTTTTTTTAATATCATATATCAAAGTCTCTCCATGTCCTGCAAATATAAAGAATGTAAAAATTTTGTATGGGAATAAAGAAATGAGAGACATGAGCAAATTCTTGAAGCTGCATTAACATACGTTTTTTCCTGCTTCCACCACCTGCAATATACCACTTAGTGCCGCATAAAACACTACCACAACCAGCTCTTGGTGATGGATGGAAACCACGCACCTTTATTCTTGACCACGCCATCTGAAATAATGTTTTCGTCAAATTATGTAACGAAAGAATATTTAATTTGCATATTGGAAATCATGAAGTTTTGTCATGATATGACTATATGGAGAGCTCACACACCGTTTCAAAGTCGAGTGAGTACAAGTCATTCAAGGTCCTAGATTTTGATGCTCCTCCAAATACAAAAAGAATTTTACCATTGTAAAGAGACGTGACGTGGTTGCATCTTGGAGAAGGTGCTGTTCCCCTGTAAGTAATATACTCGTTCAGGTGCATCCGTACACACAATTGCAAACATTTATATCAGGTTTTTCTTAGTAGATAATTCCATCAATGTCGAAAGTTAACTTTTAGTTTCCGACCTTTTCTAAAGAAAGAATAAACTAAAATATTCATAAACACTTACGTGCAATGAAGTGGAAGCCATGTCAAGGACTTGAGATCAAACATATGTAGATCATTCAATTTCCTCTTTTTGCAATCTTCTCCCCCAAACAATATCAAAGTAGAGTTAGCCCTAACAATTGTATGACCACTGCGAGCAGTCTGCCAAGAACAAAATCTTTGGTCAGCACTTCCTAAAGAGATCTCAGTAGACGAAATCAAATTATGATTTATCGGTAGTCCATGTAATAGTTTATTTGTCTACATTCATCATATATTGAGTATTCTGATAGGGCATGATATGCAAATCACAATCGAAAATCATATGTTCTAATAGCTGGATTATGCAAATCTAAAGAAACAATCCCCAAGATAAACTGTCTACACTACAGAATAGAAATTTCCACTTTCAGTATTCCTACCGGTATGTCTCCCTTTGCTTCCATGAGTGACCAGCACTCGGTCTCTGTGTCAAACGCCCATACTACGAAAGTCAAAAAAGAAAATTAGAAGAACTCCACGACATGGATCAGGATAATGCAATTACATATGCAAATGACACGGGGTTGAACCAGAAATTTTGTCGCTTCCAGGGTCTGTTTTCCCTCCAATGAGGAGTGCTTTTTTCCCCCAAGAAACCTAGTCAAAGTTGAAGGTCACAAAATTTTAATATCATATACAAATTGGAAAACTAACGTCAATTATGAATGAACTTTGACAGGTCGCATTAGTAAACATCACTACCAGCCTCAATTTACAGACATGTTATTAGGATCAAGTTCGTGAACTTTTCATCTTGACAGACATGTTAGTCCATGTCTACGATGAGAGCACTATGCCATTCTCAAAGTCACTTGGATGAAAAGAATTAAACATATCAGAATACAGACAATTATGGCTAAAAGCGTAAATTTAAATGTACCAAACAATGACCCTTGCAAGCTGGAATCTGTAATGGAAGACTACTTGGCGACAAGTATAGCTTGGATGACACCGTGGTCCATGAAAATGTGTCAAAATTTAGAACCTGCCAATATAACGAATAGTATGTTGATGTGATGAACCAACAACCATATAATAATGCGCATATAGAAACAACAATCTCAATCATAAAATTTCCAATTCCAAAACAAGAAATGTTCCCTCCCTCACCTGCACATCATCTAACAATCCATTCCCAGATTCACCACCAACCGCTATCATCTTATTCTCAATAACACATGCTGCATGCTATTCCAATGAATAATAATAGTTCAGTAGTCAGTACTTTGACATAACAGCTCATAAGTCATAACACTTCTACAACGAGACCTATTATGTTAGGATAAACAACTTAATCAACTACTTATAACATACACACTTATGCTATATGCTGTTTTCATAACCTATCCTAAAGAACCTATAAAAATAAGTTGAAAACAACTTATAGAAGTGTTATTAGTTGTTTCCATAAGCTCATTCAAAAGTGTTTATGTCAATTGATAAACTCAATTAAGTCAATCCAAATAGACTCCAAGGGCCCGTTTGGATAAACAATTTAATTAAGTGCTTATCATATAAGTATGCTTATGTATATGTTACTTGAATAACAAAAGATGATATAAAGTCAAACTACTATCCTAAAGAGCTTACAAAAATAAGTTATAAACAGGTTATATAAACGTCATAAGTTGTTTCCATAAGCTCTCTCGATAGCAATAGATTAACACAAATAAGTTAATCAAAACATAAAACGAAAACAAAAAGAATCACATATAATTGCATACATAGGATCTAGGAACGGGCTTATCTCCTGCAATTGACAACACCATCCAATTCTCTGAACTACCTGATGCACAATTACTTATCTCAGGTGCAGTAGATGAAACTTGACAATCAATATCCTCAGAAGAAGAATGACCACTAGTCCCGGCAACTCCATCACCCTAAAAGAAGCTTAACCATACTCAATGTATGTTTCAAATTGAATTTCACACAAAGAAATAAAGAAACAAAAACTCACATTAGAGTTTTCATTTGGTATAGGATGCCTAATAGGAGTTCTAGTTCCGTGTGTAGTGTCAGAAAGTTGAACCTTCTTCACTCTACATAAACAACAACACATCAATCACAAACATCAATCAATGAATAAGCTAGAGTGAAGGAAGAGTAAAAACTTAACCTTCCAAGTTTCTTGTGCTTACGAGAGAATCCAAACATTTTTATAGATTAATCTTGAAACCTGAAATCAGAGCTAGGTTCAAGTACATTTGACACATGACATGAAAAATCACAGTTAGTGAAGAAGAAAAAGAAACAAACCCAGAACACTACGCTCAGAGATTGTTAGTTTTGATTTGGGGAGAAAAAGGAAATTACTAAGTCAACCAAGGCTCTAAATGGTTAGAAAACAACATAACAACATTGTGTTAGTTAGTTAAGTGACAAGGAATCTCGCCGAGTAAATTGTCGGTGGTTGGTTACAAATTTCATCCAATTCTCCATTTTGTTTGTTCCACTCAATTTAGGGTGTATACGATAGAATGAGATATTTTTAATAATATATCAAAATAATGGAGTGAGATTTATATTTCATTATGTTCCAAACACACTCTTAAGGTTATTGCACAGAGATTAAAAAAGTAATGATTGAATCAATAAAAATAATATTTTTACAAAATTACCTTTTATTATTATTGGTTATAGTACATTGTCATACTTGAAAAAAGTGTATACAAAAGATAAAATTGATAAAAGTTAATTATAATTACATTGGAAAAATAAAGAGACTACTACCTCATCCTTAAATATAAGACCCCGTGGACAAAATTACGTTAATTAAGAAAGTTGGTTAGAGTATTAATTTTTTTTTACTATTTTTACAATTTTACAAGTTTATCCTTAAGAGAGAGAAATAATTGATGTTTATACATGTGTATTTATTAGTGATTGCAGAAAAAAAAATATAATACAATTAGGGGTATGTTTGAAAAAAAATAATTAATGTATTTTGAAAGTTGAAGAAGGTCTTATAAAAAAGGACAAGAAAAAAAAACTAAATAAGGTCTTATAATTAGGGACGAATGTAGTATTATTTTGAGACGACTTTTTGAGGCTAGAAAGACAATTATTTTGAGACAATGGGAGTACTATTTTCAACACATTTTAGTAAAATACATGTCTTCCGACAATATTATTACATTTTTTAAGTTATGGACAAAAACTTTAAACGATCGTCATTTTAAAACAGTGGAAATAATAAATTGGAGTAGATTCTGACAACTTTATATGTTTAGTAATAATTTTAATAATAATGTCTAAAAATGGTAGTTATCAAACAACTCTTGTTAGAGTGATGATTGATGATTGTTATGACGTTGATTGATCGTGGCTAGAGGGATAAATGATGTTGTCGAACGACAATGATTAGTGTGGCAGTTTCAAGTGGTCTGAATAGTAGTTGATGGTGGTGATCAATAGTGGTCAGAGTGGTGGTTGACAACGAACAATGATAAGATTGGGTGATTACAAGGGGATAAAATGGTGGTTAAGGATAGTCATAATGGTGGTTGGCAGTTGTCAGATTGGTGGTCACAGGTGGATGAAGTGTCAATCGATGATAGTCATAGCGGTGGTTGATAATGGTCAGGGTGTTAGCCGGTGGTGGTCCGATTATAGATCATATATGGATCAAGTGGTGTCAGAGGTGATCATAATGGTTGTCTAAGTAATGGTTAAACGTCACCAGAGTAGTAGTAAATGATGGGTGTTTCAGGCTTCCCACAAGGCCTAAATAGGAGAATGGCCAATAATGACGTGAGGCAGCATTTGGCGAAGAACGGGTATTTTCTTCTGCCGCATATGTAATCACTCACGCAAGTACTTTCCCAATTGTATAAATTAATTTGATGATTAACTGCATCTCACGCGTGACCAGATATTTTCAGTTACCAACCACTTCTCTCATTTAGATATGAAAACACACCATTTCGCAAGTACTCAAATCTTTTCGCACCCAAACTCCATGTTCACTCCCTTACTAACTTAAGTGTAAGAGTTATACTCTTGTAGGTCAGTCCCCTTTCCACTGTATCAGAAGCTCTAAACCACTACAACAAACTCTGAATTCATACTTCTCAATCAAATATAGTTCCCACATAGAACACTAGTACTGTTTATGGGAATCGACTTTTGATTCCTAGGATTCTCAAGGATCAAACTTCTCTTGGTCTTATGCCACCATTGGTCTTTTAAAGATTCATCCTGGTTTGAAGGGGAGTGATGTTTTATCTTCTTCCTTATGTGCACCAACATACTTCAAGACTTTCTACTCCTTTTCTTGAAGGTGTTGTTCTTTGGTGATGGGTTTGGTACTACAATGGAGCTCATTCAAAATGCTGGAAAGAAGATGTCAAACAAAGATGTCCCAACATCTTTACTGAAGACCGACTCCATGTTGTTGTGCTGTTGTGATCAGTAGTTTCTGAGGACTACTGTTGGTAGATGTTTGAATTGTTGTTGTAATATTGGGTTGTAATTTTTAATGTATTTGTTTTAGCCAAAATTTGCCAAATGTGGAGATTGTAAGTTCATTTGTTTTAAGGATTGTCATTAATTTTTGTAAAACAAATATAGCATCAATATGTTAGATAGGATGTATTAACTTGCTAACAGGAACATGTTGAGCAAGAAGTCCTATCTTATGTTAGGATACGTTGAGTTGAAGTGTTCCAACGCCTGGAACAACATGTCAGATAAGATGTTCTATGAATGAGCATACGACATCGCGTCTGGGCTGAAGTGGACAGTTAGATTTTGTTATGATTTAGATGATGCATAATATTTTGAGAATATTATGCATTATTATATGGCGATTATTTAAAGGTCTAGAAGAATCAAATCAGAATATTGAAGATTATGTAGTTTCTAAATATGGAGATATTTTAGGAAACGAATGATTGAAGACCTTGTTTGTAGCAGAAGTTACTACTATTTATAACAACCAAAGAGTTTTATTTTAAAGGCCCAAATCCAGTTGGATATAGGTTATAAATAGAAGTGTTTGTAACCTAGTAAAGACACGAGTTCAAGATGTAGAAGTCTAAAGCTTTGTCTTTTTGCGGCTCTATAGGAGAGTTGGTGTAAGTGGACCACTCGGGCTGTGAGATGGTCATTGTGTTTTCACTCAGAAGATGTGAAGTAATAAGTTGAGTATTATTATTGGAGGAAGCTTTGGAGAATATCCAAGTTGTGGTCTTATTCAAGAGTCTTGGCTAGAGATTGTCATGGAAGTGTGTCTTCCTGTTTGTTCAGAATTGTTGTTGCCCAATTGCTGTTTGTGATTGAAGAGGGATTGAGGAGGGCCTCATATCTAGGTGAGTCTTAGATGGAAATATAATACGGGTAGTGATTAAGTGAAAAGTTGTAAATGAGGGATTTAGCTTTGAATTGATACTATCATAGTGGATTTTTCCCTGGCTTGGTATGCCCCCAGAGTAAGAGAGTTGCTCCAAACTAGGTTAACAATTCTGGTGTGTTGTTTATGTTTTTTAGTACTGTTATTTATTATTGATACCTTGCTTGTTTGTTTATGTCGGATCAGATGTCCCAACATGTCATAGGACATCTGAGTTTTGTCATACCATAATTTCAACCTCCTTTCTCCTTTAGCCGTAAGCATATTCATTTACAACCTCCATATGATATCCATCTCCTTAAAACTAAGATTTCCCCATACTAATGGAGCTCATGATAAAATCCCTCTAATAAATGGTCCATTTTCTTACATGTACAGGAGCGAATATTAGAGGGAGGTTGAAATATATATTATGAAAGATTGAGTCGGAAGATACTTGCCTTGATGATCAGTGGATAGAGATCATTTATTTCCCCTTCTCACAATTCTCAATGTACTCTCAACAAAACAAGAAGGAGAGTGAGTTCCTTATTTTGAATTCCTTTTTAGGTTGGAATATAAATACATGTCTTTCCAAAAGACCATTCCACCCTTCAATTACTTTAAGAATCTCTAAAATATCATATCTTCCAAATAAGTGGGTGAGTAGTTTAAACCTCATATCTATCCCTATTAAGTATTTACTAGACTTAATATACCACATGAGATAATTGAGAATTGAAAAAATACCCTTGGCAGAAAAATGACCATTTTATTCTTGGTCCTAAAATTTAATTATTTTGTTGAATAAGCGAGTTTTCAATCAATAATTTAGGTCTGGGTATTACAAGACGCAACTAGATAGTGATGTTTATCAAAACAATCATTTGTATTTCAAGCTATTACTCACATAAGTTAGGAGTTCATTCTGACTCGCTAGCTTGGGTGTTCAAGATCAAGAGAAATTAATGATAATTCCTGACATGGTTTACCCGATTCCTTATAGATACAATGTGATATTGGTCTCATTGTCCAATAATCTTAACATCACTTTTATTCCAACCTTTGGTATCTTTGTTTATCTCTGCGAGTAGATATAAAATTATTGAAATTGGGTTTATCAACAAGAGTCATTGGGTTCAGGAAAAGTTGAAGCTCAGTTGTCCATTGTCTCCCGTCACTGACCGCTGAAGAGAGAACTATAATTAAGGTTCAAGAGAATGGGAAACAACATATGCGGGACGTAAAAAACATTGTGAAGAAGTCAACATAATTTGAATTGTATTGATATTATTGTATAGTTCAATTTGTATTGACATTTTTGAAAGCTTGTGATTATACCGATACTTTTGAATGTTATGTTAGGTTATGTCCATGGTAAGTATGATGATGTTATGGTAATGTGATGCTAAATTTCATATAATGTATTCTCCTCACTAAATACACATATACAAAAAAACTATTGGCCTACCGAATTTTTAAAAAATTCGCTCACACTCCTACGAATACTGAACTTTTGAAAATATTCGGTAGCCAAAATTTTTAACCATAGTGGCATTTTAAAAATATTTGGTAAAAACACATAGTACTTCACCATTTTATTCAAATCCAATAAAATACATCAAAAATAGATTTTAGTAAAAGTATGATATTTTTAAGTATTTGGTAAAAATGCATGTATTATGTGGAAAATACGATATTTTAGAAAAATATCTGATAAAACTAATAAACTGCTCCGGAAATGCTAGTTAACCGTAAAATCCAATATTTCCACCAAATCATCGAGCAAACAAGATGATTTTTGAAAAACAAATATAATGATTTA